CAGAGAAAGCCCTCCTCCGAGTACCTACCCTCCTAATTTCCTTCACGGAGGGTTCCCGGAGAAGGGCTTTCTCTGCGGTGGTGCCCAATCTATGGAATGCGCTCCCCAGAGAGGTCCGCCTGGCGCCGTTGTTATTTGTTTTTCGGCGCCAGGCCAAGACCTTTTTATTTAAGCAGCATTTTAACTGTTAATATTATTGGATTTTATCTGGCCAGGGCGGCTTATTTTATATTGTATTTTTGTATTTTTAATCTATTGTTTATATTTTTTAATTTAATGATTATAATTATTTTAATTAATTGTTGTAAGCCGCCCCGAGGCTTCGGCTAATGGGGTGGCATAAAAATGTTTTAATAAATAAATAAATAAATAAATAAATAAATAAATAAATAAATATGTGGTCAGCACATAAAGCTTGTCTATAGATAATTTTAGCACATTTTTCTCCATGGAAGATTTTGGCACAAAGGGAAATCTGATTTGTTGGAGTTTCAATTTCACCCATGGCTCTGCAAAGACTACCTTCAAAAAGCTCTGTGTTTCATACTGGAACGTTTCACACCTCTGTCATCCTACCAAATCTGACTCCAGCTTGTGGGTGAAACCTGACCCTGAAATGGGCAGAGTTCTGCAAGAATGCATGACTCTCCTTCTGCCACACACCACTTTCCCCTCCTTGGCAGAGGACCGAACTGGCGGCTTGCAGAGACGTCTTGCCTTCTCCTCCTGTTCCATCAGTTTTGGCTCCCTAACCAAAAGTGCCCCATTTCCCCCTCCTGCCATCTAACTTTTCCCCATTAAAATAAGCTGATGCTTGCACATTGTCCTCCAATCCCATGTTGCCCACCCCAGCCAGATTTCCGTCCATGATGTTTTGCGGTTTTGTTACCATAGTCATATTATTCTTGAAGGTATGAAAGGCCTGTAGGCTTAATGTGTGTGATACGTAGGAACTGGAGAACCCAGTTCAAGGACAAAAATATCCCAATGGTCCCAGCAAGCAACACTTTATAATAATACATTTAACTGTAAAGCAAAACCGAGTACCTCTTGATGCCCATATCTCTGATAGCAGAAGAAGGAGGACCTATGAAAACGATTCCTTCTTGTTTGCAGAGTTCTGCAAACTCTGTATTCTCTGACAGGAAGCCATAGCCTGGATGGATGGCCTAAAAGAGGAAATACCAAGGCGATAATGCCCAAGACTTGGAGGTATTTTGGGTGCACCTGACCCAAAATGCACCAAGCTTCTCCTTGACAGTGGCAGCTTGCTAGAAGAACGTTCTAGTTTTGCTTCACAGTCTGTCCTGAATTTTTGAAGGTATCAAGCCTGCCAGGGTGCATGGGCTGGGGTCAAACCTAATTCTGTGAAATGTCCATGCCATATGATTTTCCATATTCCTATATCTAATATACGTATTTTCATTTTCCAGTCTTTTCCTATGTGTTATGCCAGGGCTTCTCAACACAGCACCCATAAGCACCTGGAAAAAAAACCTTTATTTTTACTTTGTGTTTGATTTTTTTATGTAGATTCCTCAATGTGTATAAAATGCATACAACTTCTTAGCATATATACATAGGCTTCAGCAAAAATGGACCAAATATTCAAATAAGTACCCATTTATTGGCTTCTAGAAGTCACACATTCATATACTGAAAACACTGTAAGGTCTTCAATCTGCCAGTCTTTTATCTGTCAGAAGGGCACAGATAATCAGTTCTCCCGTTGATCTGCTAATTCCAACAAAACCGGCAAATAATTCTGTCCCCTCACCCTGGTGTATAGGGAGGAAAACAGCAAAGGACTCTCTTCCCATAGAGTTTGCTTGTGGAGAAAGGTAAGAACAAACAGGAAAATTATCCCTCCAGCCCTGTTGGGATTTGAAATGCCATCTGGAATGATCAATGTAAAGGAAAATGCAAGTTTTCTAGCAGCTGAAACGCTATGTAGAGTTCAGCAGCAACAGTCCAACCCATCCGGACACACGCAAATGCTAAGTTAACGTAGCTTGTACCTGTGCTGCTGACTTTTTGGCCACCTGCATTATCTTTTCCATGGACAAGTAGCTCTGCTGAGATGGTGCTGGGCCAATGAAATATGCTTCATCCGCCTGCAATGAAATAAGGAGACCTGCTACAGTATTTATTATTGGACTACATTTCATTAGAAATAGGCTTTACTAAGTTTAATGGAACAAACGTGGGTAAGTGCACAAGGGTGAAACTTTCTGTAAAGTTTTGAATAAATGGTGAAAGAGAAAAAGAGAGAGAGACTTAAACAGGCCTTAACTAAGATTTGCAATGTACTTGCTAATAAACCCAACCTATTTTCTCATAAATGTATGGAAACAGAATAAAACTAGGCACAGTCTGAGCAGGACTAGACAATAAGATTCTAAGTGTGGAATCTTTTGCACAAACCTCTTCTATTTCTGCAAGTACTGTGGTCCCTTAAGCAGCCAGATTCATTTACAAGCAGCTTGCACTTCAAAGCTTTCCCGCAGAAGCCATGGCTCAGGGACAGTGTATGTGCTTAGCCTGCAGTAGGCCCCAAGCTGGACCCCTACTGCCTCTGAGGAAAAGCAGAGCTGAGAACGCCGTCCCCACTGCCCCACAGAGCTGCCACACCAGGCTAAACAGGGCGACAGTCCAATTCTATGCAAGGCAGCTACATAACTTCAAAATTATCCTGCCCCACAACTGTTTCCAAGACTGTCCCTTAACAGTTTTAACATCACGCTTTACCATTGCTACATGCATGGAATTCTTATCCGCGTCACTGTACACGGCCACAGACTTTATGCCCATCTTCCTGGCAGTCCACATCACTCTGCATGCTATTTCACCTCGGTTTGCCACCAGGACCTTCTCGATATTCCTTTGTCCTGGTTTTAAAAACAAAGCAGACAGAGAGAAAAGAGATGAAGTTGCTCTTTGTTGCCACTAACAACTGAGATATAAGAATGCTTTAGCATAACTACTAAATGATCCTTTTTTCCACGTCTTCTTTGACATAATGGGGAATACTTGGCTCAACAATACTGCAAGTGAGAACAGTCCTGGAATTGCTATAGAGCACAAGCTGCACAAGTCAACAATGTGATGAAGCTGCAAAAAGGGCAAATGCATATTCTGTCAGGCTGCATTAATAGAAGTATCACTTCCAAAACACGTTTCTCTTTACTCAGCACTGCTTAAGCCCCATCTGGAGTCCTGTGCCCAGTTCTGGGCACCAAAGTTTAAGAAAGAGGCAGGCAAGCTGGAAGGGGTTCATAGGAGGGCAACAAGGCTGATCCTTTGAAACAAAGCCCTAATGAAGAGCAACTGCGAGAACTGGGCATTTTTAGTGTCAAGAAGAGAAGACTGAGGGGAGATATGATGAAGGATAGGATCTCTTAATTGTCCCAGAGTACAGGACACAGAATAATGGGCTCAAGTTCCAGGAAGCCAGATTCTGGCTAAATATCAGAAAAAAATGTCCTTTTAGAGCAGTACAAAAATGGAAATAATTACCTAGGGAGGTTTTAGGCTCTCCCACATTCAGCTGGACAGCAATTTGAGAGGGGCAGTTTGACTTGGAGTCCTGCACTAAGCAGGAGGCTGGACCTGATGGTCCTCTGGCCCCTTCCAACTCTACTCTTCTATGAGTCTATGATAATGAATCAATTCACTTCACTGCACTTAGAGCTGAGTCGAAGAAAGCATGACCCTCCAGATAGTACTGGACTGTAACTCCCATCATCCTTGCCATTGGCTATGCTAGTTAAGGCTGATGTGAATTACAGCCTAACAACATCAACAGGGCCACACCTCGCCCAACCTGGTTGTGCATCCTTGTGCAGCCACAGGGGCCGGATTCCACACACAAAAGGTGGCTGAGCTGAGTGCCAGTACATGGTCAGAAAGACCAGTACAGTTTTGCTGGCACTGTACTTCATTTCCACCCCACTCCAGTTCACATTGACTGCTATCACTTTCAAGTCTCAGGAAAGGAGAGGGAAAGCAAAATATACAAGCAGTTCATGAAATAGTGCTTAGCCTAGCTCAAACACCAGGAAATTTCTAACATGCTCACTTTTCCACTTCTAGGAAAGGAAGAATAAGATGACTGTACATTGAGAAATCGTTTCTTGTTCCCTAATCCTGAAAAACTTCTCCATATTAGATTACCTTTATTACAGGCAATGAGCTTATTTCTTATAGTAAAGATACACAACCCTATGTCTGTTTAGGCAGAAAAAGTCCTACAGTTCCTAACATGCCCCAGCCATCTATGCATAGGATTATGTAAACACATTTAAGATCGTACTCTTAAAGATCCATGCTTTATTTCTATAGTGGACAATATAATATATATATTATTTTAAAGTGTTAACATTAAAAGCACTTATAATAAGCTTTGTGGTAAGAACAGTTTACCTGTTGCAGAAGCAAATATTCTGACCCATGATGCTCGCATCCATTTTCTGTAGGAGGAAAATGATATCGTATAGAACCAAAGAAGAAATTCAGCAGATGGCGCTGTTTTTGTTATAGAAGTAAAATGATGGGTGACATTGTTTATGGTAGGATGGGCCAGTTAGCCAAAAACATGCTAATGTATAGTGATGACTTAGTACAATCAAGTTACTATACAGTAGCTTGTACATAAGCTATGTTTACCAATATGAAGAACATAGCTGTGTGAATTCAGCCCTCAGAATTAATCCTTGTAGATATCCACACTGCTGGGAAGGTAGAGGAGGAAGGAATGAAGCACAAACCATGTTGATCCATATTTAAAAGATACTTAGACAAATTCCTGTGTGGAACTCTTGAAAAAGCTGTGCATGTTTAGCCCAGAAAGGATAAGATTTAGGAGAAACATAATAGCAGTCTTGTCATGTAGACAAAGCAGATTTGTTCTCCTTTACTGCAGATGGCAGGACTAGAACAAGTGAATAGACAGTGCAGGAAAACAGATTTCAATGAAACATTATGAAAAAGTTCTCCACATTGTGAACTGTTTCAACATGGAACATGCTGCTTTGGTTGGGTGAGGGCAGGGGGTGCTTTCTTTCCTTCGAAGTATTTAAACAGGATTGCCAGAAATGTAATTGCAACTGGCATTGCACAGGGGGTTAGACTAGATGGCCTCTAAGGTCCCTTTCCCCTCTATAATTCGATGAAACCCTTAGAAGATGAGAGCTATCAATTGAAATGACAGCTCTATGGAATCAATTTGCACCAGGAAAGTGTTATCAACATTATCTCTAATATCTTGGCTGCTGGAATAGATGACCTTGTGGTGCCACCCAGTTGCAGAGTTTTTAAGTGGTTTGAATCCAAACTAGACCTCATTTATTTCAGTGGATCTATTCAAAGCATGGCAACAAAGTTGAGAGCCAACCCAACCTTTCTGTCCAATGTTTTAGGACTCCACAATGCTCTAAACTCTTAGACAGAACTGCCTTAAGGGACCTTGTTGTTGTAAAGGCTGCTTCATTTCAGCATCCACATCTATGCTGAATAAAGCACAACATTTTCTGCATATGACAATCAAGGATGGTGAAAATGTCAGGATTTTAAAACATTTTTAGGTACCTAGAGAGGGGAGCAGCAGCCTTTTCTATAATACTGCCCCTCCTATATGATGGGCTCAGTCCTTGTTGAAATCTTTTTATTTTCCCATAAGTTTAAATGCTAATATTGTTTTAAGACTGGGTTTTATTTATTGTTATACCTTGATGCTGTACCTTATTTTATTGTATTACCACCCTGAGACATGGTGAAGGGCAGGATATAAAAGCTTTAAATAAATAGAGAAATAAATCCATACATTAACAGTGCCACAGTCCAGCTTCCCTGTGGCTGCTGCAGTTACCATTCCAATAATCGCTGTCAGGCCCAGCGGGCCAGCGGCTAGGATATGTGGCTCCTTCCTACACGTGTTAGGGGGTGGCTTAACCCCGCACACGTCTGTCATCCGCTTCGGGCGGCAAAGCCTTTCTTGTGAATCAGTCCAGCAAGCAGGTCGGCCTCTGTGGATGGGGGCCCTGCACCACAGGGTAGGGGGCGACTCCCTGCCACAAAGGGCTCCCCCCACGCAAAGCGGCCGCCACCCAGTCGCAAGCCGCCCACGGCCCACCCTGCCAGCTGGCTCGGGGAACGCTGGCCCTGAAGTCCGCCAGTTCTTCGGGGGACGAGCCCCCCCGGCCTCCCTCCCTCCGTGCAACCCAAGCCGCTGCCCCCACGCGCGGGGCAGGCTCCTCGCGGCGACGGGGGTGCACTCTGCACCTGCTCAGAGAGACCCTCTCTCGGAGGGCGCTTGCCAGGCCTCGCCCCCCGCCTGCCGGGCAAGGGCAGGCTGCGCGGGGGCCCCGCTCGCCCTGGGGCGGCGCCGAAGCGCCCCGAGCCCCGCCGCCTCCCGCCCGCGGCACTCACTGGCACTGGCACTGCCACCCGCGCCGGGCCTGGCGCCGCCACGCGAGGGTCGCCGCGAACGCCGCGGCCGCCATGGCTGCGCGGGCTGGGG